TTATCCTGTGCGTTCAAGGGTGTTACAGCACCGCTTTTGGTCGTGACTTCTTTGCCTTCGCCCTGACCGGAGCACAAAGCGCAGCCCGCTAGCGCCCACGTTCCCACTGACCACGCGGGAATCCGCCATATGGTGCGGCCGCTCGGTAGTGCGCAGATAGCACAAGGACTTTTTGTACTTCGCGGACGTGAACAGCGTGTGGACAAAACAAAAAACAAACCAGGCCACTGACCCGTGCGCAGACAGTGCTGCGCATGCAGACTGGCAGATATAAACCAAAGCGGCCATGCGCTTTGCAGATCGCGTGGCCATCGGCTCTCGAGCAACCAAAAACAATATGTCGCTAGCCGAACCGGCTAGCGCCTTTTTTTGCCTTTTCCCGCCAGCGGCTGAGTCCAGCTCCCGGGACCTCGGTCCCGGGTAGGGCCGGCACATCGCAGCGGAAAGCGGCGGCTTACGGGGCCGGCCAATCAAGCTAGAAACTTCCGGCATGCGCCGGGCCCGGCATCCGTGCGCGCCGCAGCACTGTGTGGCCGACCGCATTGGAGAGCACACTCCACCAGCGGAGCGCCCGGGCTGCTTTTGGACGGGCACGCGCACGCGGCGGGGTTCCATTGCCTCAGTGTTCCACCGTCAAACCACCTCACGTACGCTGCCGAGCACGACCAAGCAGTTTGGGCAACGTTCCAGGATATTTTGGCGGAGCCGAACGTGGCAGCAAGTCGACTTACTCCCCGAAGCCGCTGGCGGTCGTGGGATCGCCAGCACGGCGCGACTAGCCCAGCGGCTCTGAGGGGGCAGCTCAGCTTTCTTTTCCGCGGCCGCCAACCGGGACTACCCGTCCTCCTCTCACCGGGCGGGCAGGCGCTAACGGGGACGGCCTCGCTCCACGGCCCACACTGAATCTGTCAACGACACAGTCGCAAATCTGCACAAGGCAAGGTTTGCTGCACGATAGCCGATAACCCTGCAACAGCGGGAGCAAAACTTGCAAAAGCACGCCAAAGACCGCAAGGCAGCTAAGCCAGCCAATTCCTATGGTGCCTCTGCCAAGACCTCGATGCGGCGGCCGTCGGTCGACCCAGTAAGAGGACATTCGAAGCCACACTTGCTCCTGCTTCACGCCCGCAGCCGCCCTTTCCGGCGCTGCAGGCACGGGCTGTCGCAACCTCCTGAGCAACAACACTCGGAAGCCAGAGACCTCGAGAGCCTGAACTCCGGAGCCGTTGGCAAGGTGGTTAGGGCACGGCAACCACCTCGACCTGCCTGGGACAAAATCAATGCGCGCGAAGCCGAATCAAGTTTACATAACGGGCTCGCGCGGGCAGATGCGTCCAAGCAAGTCGCGGCGGCTCGCTGCCATCCTCGCAGCGGCTCTCCAGGTTTGCGCTCAACCAACGCAAGAAGCGAGCGCCCCGCCTTCGGCAAGTCTGTCCAACGTCGATGATGCGAACCCGGCCTCCTGCAGTTGCGCGACTGCTGTTGCTAGTTGGGCCAGGCGTCGGGTTGCCTCGCCAGCTCCTTGTAGGTTGGGGCTGCACGCGGTGGCGCAGGATCGGCAAGGTGTCGGCCCAAGATGCCCAGTAAGCTGCACTGCTTCAGAGGCAGCGCTACGCCAAGCGCAAAGCTGGCGACGGCTCGCTGCAGGCTGCCTGCAGGGCTACCGACAAGACACTCCACGGCCGCCACTCGTGCTCGCTGGAGGAGTAGCTGGCAGGGCCAGGGCGCCTGCCAGGAGGCGGCGGGGGCTGGTCCGACTCGCTGCCACCAGCGCTGCGGGGGCGCGCAGCGCCTCAAAGAGCACGAACAGGCCTCGAATTTGGTCCAGGACGGCTTCTAGCTGTACTCCACCCACGGTCAAACACACGCGATCCATGTGGCGGCGCACCCAGGCTAGCTAAAAGGCCCAGCTACCACAGTCGGAACAGGAAACTTGAATGGCTTGCTTTTCTTTTTAGACACACGCACCTTTTTGCGACATGTCCACGCGGCCCCAGTGCAACGAGGGCTCCGGCGGCGCAGAGCTCACACACGCGCCACGCCAAGCGGGAGGCAAGGGGAGGCGACTCGGCGGAGTCAGCGAGGACGTCGTTCAGCAAAGGTGATTCGCCCTCAACATTGGCGGTATTGGAGATCGGCAAGGAAAGCAAGCTGGCAGCAAAGGACCTGGCTGCGGCAACCGACAATAATCCCGACCATCGCCCAACGAAGGCAGCGATCGTTGCAGCACGCTGCAAAGGGAGGGCAGTGCGTGCTCGTGCTCGAGCCAGTAACCGGATGAAGTTGGCCGCTTCAGCATTCCAGCGTCCGCCAACCTCGATGCCGAGAACGACCAAGCAGCACCGCGACGCTCGCCCGAACTCGCTTTCCCACGTGTACCAGCTGTGACTAGCCATGGTCGCAGCAATTTTTCTTGCACGCAATCATTCCAAGTCAGGAGACATCGGACCTAGCCTACCGCTGCCAGACTCAGCAGGCATCAAAACTGGGAGAAGAAATCCAGGTGTTTTAGCAACAAGGCAGTGAGCAATGAAGGAGATTCACTGCGCACTGCAGACTCTTCCCCGACGTTTTTTGGCAGCCGGACTGCAAGGATAACCCAGAGGTCCACCACACAACTAAGCAAAAAAAAAAAAATTGGAGGCGACCGGGTGAATCCAAACAGCCGGGAGAACGATCTTGATTGAACTGCCAACCAGGAAGTAATTCATTACGGCTTCATCGAAGGGAACAATCAAAAAGGCAAAACTGCTCAATACTGACTTGCAATCCCACAAGTCAAGGAGCCGAGGATCCGAGTCACAGGCTTGAGGCAAGATGGCAATTCAACATAGAACATGACGAAGGACTAGATAAGGAAAAGCAACACGGAACCAAGGGCACGGTTTTGGTTTTAGGACCACGCAACCAAGGCACCGTCTTGGTTTTAGGACCACCAAAGAACTTGCAATCCAAGATGATGCAGCACAGTCCAACAGAAGAGCTGGACACAAGGTCTAGCAATGCGGAGCTAGATACAGAACGTGGACATGGACGCACACAACCTCGCAAGCAGGATGGTGGTCCATGACAGCACTTACTTTTCTTTCTCATTCCAAGGCAACTTTCAGGATCGGTTGTGTTGTTTTCGTGACATCCGTGCTTTACGGAGTCGACCAGCTGCTGCAACCCATTCCAGCACTTCTGATGCATGTGCCAGAAGGCTACCCACCGTCCGTCTCGTCTGAGGAGATACAACGCCGTTGTCGTCGTCGGTGAAAAATCCCTGCAGCTTTAACGCTGCCCAAGCTTGAGCATCAGAGATGGAAGTGCCATGACCAACTATACTCGCCAGAGTCCAGGAATGAAGATCCCAACTTTGCCAATGTACGAGAAACCGGCGCTCCCGTGTTCGGACCGCAACGGCAAGCAGCTCAGGCCAGCACGGGCTACCAGGTGGAGCAAAGTCTGCAGAAACGGGCCGTTGCTGGCGGCTAAGGTAAGCAACCAGCCACAACGTTCCTGTCAGCCAGCCAGCCAGCCAGCCAGCCAGCCAGCCAGCCAGCCGCCATGTCACGGTAGTCGGGGTTGTTGTCACTTGCTGCAACAAGGTCCTTCGCCACAGACTGGCTTTCGTCGCCGACCGCTGGCTTTCGTCGCCGACCGCCAATACCGCCAATCTTGATAGCGCATCAGTGGCATCACCACACATGACAGTGTTTACGCGACCAGCCATTCCGCATGCACACGCCGGCACCCACAAGCAACCCACCGCGACGCATGCAAGTGATCAGCCGTAACAGCACAGCACTTGAAAACCAGTTGCAACCAGATCCGGCCGTGTTCTAAGCCCCAACCAGAAAAGAGAACCAGTCTCAGAGCTCTACGCAAGCCGGCACCAGAGGCGTCATCGCGAGGTACAGTAGCGGCTCTGGGAGATTAGCAGCTCCTCAGGCCGCCGTCAAGCCGCGCCGCTCCAACTCCGTCTCTACCCAGGAGTGCTGGTGCAGTGCCACACCTTCTACCCCACAACCCGGATGAGATGGGATCAGGAAAGAACTGAATGCCCTCTGCATTCTCAAACGGCCTTCCGTCCAACTCTTCATTCCGACAGACCTCCCAAAACTTGGTCTTGTTGCGCAAGCCATACAGCCATCGACGAAGCCTCCAAACCTTCAACGTGTGCACCAAACCTTCCCTGGACAGCACCTGTGGGAGCCTGACAAAAGTTGTTTCGTTGTCCATCTTCGCATTCAAGAATGCGGCCTTAATGTCCAAGACCAGTCCTGTCCAGCTCGGGTTGCTGGCAAAACAAGCTGCTCTCCATCTGATTTGCTGAATGGCAGGGTTGGCACGGGCATTATCTGGATCATGTCCAACCGTATTTTGCTCATCGTTCCCACACACCACAATCCGCGCTTTTGCCCTCCAACTGCTCCAAGCGTCGGTCGGGTCCACCTCCGCGTCATCCTGACGAGGCTTCTTGGTCAACACCACCTTGGCCGGCCACGGTTTGCCGCGGCGCGTGCGAAACGACCTTAGCTACATAAGCCTTGCGCAAACTTTTGTTGCGACGTCCGCTGCGCGTCGGGGATGTGGGCCGCAGCGCCATCGCGGACACTCGCCAATCATGTGTGAAGCGCGAGAGAACCGCGCCTAGTGCTGTCCCGGTCTGCTAACGCATGAGCATGAAGCTGCACCAGAGGACTTGGGACCTGCGGCTGGGGCTCCGGAAGTAATCGTCGTTGACTCTGTTTGTGACGTTTGTGATGAACTAAATGTTGAGGAGGAGCCATTGGCCGTTGCAGCGACAGCTCGGAGCAAGAAGGACGTGAAGGTGGGCCGATCGTTGTAAGATTTTGTCGTACAAGGTTGAGCAGAAGATGAACAAAGCGGAAATCAAGGGTGCTCAGCTGGTGACCGACACGAGCGATGCGAGGATCTTGTCTGACCCTCGAACACCGCGGAAGTGGGTGAATGAAGGGTTGAGGCCTGAGCTGGAAACTCCTCAAACAAAGGAGATTTATTATGAGTGTGATGAGGCACATCTCCCACCAGGCGCGAAGGTGTTGGCGCACTGGCAACTGCAGCAGGCAGCGGGCTCCGCGCATGCGCCCCCGCTACGTAGCAGCCATCGGCATGATTCCGCATGCACAAGCTGCCCGGCGCTGCATAAGAGCTCCCGGCGTCACGTCATCCACGACTCCTAACAGCGCTTCTGTAATGAACCTCGGTATTTTGGTTTTCCATTAAGAATGAAGTCGCGCGTAACAACGCTGGCCAGCCTCGCGTTCGGTCCCACAATGTAGGATTACGCGGTGAAATCCTGCGTGCTAAATGTTCATATCCGCGAGCGGTCGGCATATGGTACATATGACACCGTGAACTGGACTGCCGGCAGGACACCCGCCCGCACCTCTTGTACGGCAAGCGCATTCCCCGAGTCTGACGCGCTGCTGCCATCGCAGGCGGCGAGTTCGCTGCCTATGTCTCCCTACCTAGTCTTTCCGTTTGATTCCACTTGCGCTTTGCAGATCCAGCAGCCGTTTTTCTATGCACTCGCCCACTCGGGGCAAGTACCCTCTCTTGGCCGGCAAGGACCGCCCGCCACTGCCAACTTGAAACCGCCATGGCAGGCCGGTTGTGAGTTTGGGGAAGCGCAGATGTGGTGTGCAACATTGTGCAATGCGATTTGTTTCAAGAGCGCGTTTGAGGTTCATCGCGAGTGCGCGTGCAGCCTGCGTAAAAAAAAATCGAAACTTTTCGTTCTGCGTGGCCAAGTGGGCATGACAATGGGAGCCGCAGCTGACACATTCTCCTGCCTGTAGCGTATACGATGCACTACCGATTGTTGCGCCGTGCAAGTGGCACGGTTTGAGTGTGGTCGGGGAGCATTGCGGAACAACTGTTGCGCAACCGCTCCTAGCGAGGCCGATCGCCAACTCCGTAGACACTTGAACCAATTGTGGCATGTGGCATGCCAGATTAGCGTGATGCTGCGAGCCAACAAACCAGCTGATGATCATTGAATGCTGCAACCGATCGGCCAGCCGAAGCTCGCAGGCCAGGTCGTAGCAGGGCAACCGATAAGATAAATCTGGAGCAATATCTTGGTGAAGTCGATGATTTTTTCCGCGTTTTGTCCTTCCTTTGATGCTCCCAGCAGCTGTGGTGGTGAAGTGGGCATGTTCGCAATCGCTGTGCAGCAGGCACAGAATACAAATCGACACCGATTCCTGGACATGGCGACGATGATTTCCCACAGCGGCATGCTTCTCGCAAGATACGGGCGACTCATGTTGCATCTACTGTGCTGTCGGCTGCAGATGGCAGCCTGATCCATGGCAGCCGAATGACCCGGCTTCGCTTGGTCGCACAAACGCCAGCCTGGTGTGTCGACGAATACCCAAAACGACGGACGCAGCGAGGCGAAGCCTCCGTCGCGTCGTCCCTACATGCGATGCCTTTCCGAGTGCAGCCTTTGTGTTGCTCGAACATCCAGTGCGGTGGAAAGTGGTCTCACATGCCCGGCGATGGATGCGATGGACGTCCGGCACGATGAGACCAACCTTTTTGCGTGCAGGTCCTGCGCATAGCTGCGCGAGCATGTCCCGGCGAGTGCCGGCTTGCCGCTGAGCGGAAAACTCGGGCTCCGCTTCCGCAGGCATATCCCTTCCGGCAGGCCAGTTGCAAACCATTTCGTCAGCGATGGGTGCCAGGTTCCGGGTCGAAGCGATTGGTGGTCTATGGTTTCCATCTGAAGCTACACAATCTGGACAGCGGCCCTGCATGGCCTCTGCACTTGAGATCCCAAAGTCCCGCTTCTCGACAAACAGATGTTTGCCTGAGATCCAAACGCTCCGCGTGAGGTGGTATGCTGCATGCTACTTCTGCAACCTACAAAATCGTGAACAAACGGCGCGATGCTGAACGGGATCCGGCGTGAGGGCGCTGATGCAGAGCTTGGACCTTCAAGCCATTGGTCCTGCACTTCAATCCTTGCTTGAGTTGCAAGACGGATCTCGGCGAGGCTGAAAATTCCTATCACAGTATCCTATTGATATGCAGCACCAGCTTGTCAACCACAATTCCCCAGCCAGCAGTCACCGGAAATGCCGAAGTGTGCTTTGGTCTTTGGTCCCTTCGAAAACTCCCCACTTGTGTCCTCACTGCCTGGCCAGTTCACGATTTCCAGCGTCCTGCCAGTTTTGCATCTTGCTTTGTACATAATGATCGCGAAGGGAAGCTTGACGCCAGGCAACTGCTGTTTTCATTGAGGGAAATGGCAAATTTCACTACAACAAAAGACATTTCGCAACAAGAACTCGCAAGCAAGCTACAGTGGTTGTAGTATGCCCAGCAATCGAGGCACCACCACGACATCGCTGTCCATGATGCTAGCAATTCTGTGTGGTGAGAGAAAAAGACTCGTTCGGATTGATGATGTCAGTGACGTCGACTCGTGATGACTCGTGTACACGGCTCAACCGGGGTGCGTGCATGAGGCGCTGTGTGGCTATGGCTACCAAGCTTGATCCACCAATGCCGATGCAAGCTGCACAAGGAAACCCAATCTCCGACTGGAAGCCCGTGACCGATCCCTTCCTCTGCAAAGGAGCCGGTGCCATGCACAAACAGGCCACCTGTTGTCCGGGCACCTGGCATCAGCACCAGCTTCCCCGTCCTCCTTCGGCATAGTGCCTGCAACATTGGCCATGTTTTGCAAAGCGACTGCCCAACCACCGAGTGAAAGCTCAGTGCGTAAAATCGATGCCTCTTCTGCACGGGACACCACAATCTATCTAGTTCGGTCCTCTCTCTGCTGGTATGGGCTGTGGTGGCTTTTTGCTCACGCTGTCTATGCTGGAGGTTACCAGTGTTTGGAGATCATAGCACATTCCATCTTTTGTGCTTACGACCTTGCGCTTAGGTTCCTCATAACCGTGGCCTTGCTTGTTACTGTGCGAAAGATTGCGAGTATTTTCAATGCCAAACAGTACCTAGCAGTGCTGTGATAAAACCCGCTGGCATGTTATTCAAGTCTTGAGCCAGATCCGGCACCCGGTGCTTAACTTCGGAAAAACACATAGCCGGAAATGTCATTTTCTCCAGACACAAACGAGACAACGCATGTCGTTCAACCGAGAACAAGCATGAGGTCGCGGCTTTAGCACAACAATCCAGACCTGCAGACTCAAAGGTTTGAGAAAACAACCCCAGCAGCTTTGCGAGGAAGCAAAATACTTTTCCGGAAATTGGAGCGCACCTTCACCCCTCACACACGTCTTCACTGCGGTTCCGGTTCGTAACTCTAACCAAACCTGTGGACCGGAGTAACTTGTAGCGGAGTTGGTGCAGCTCCCTCATGGTGCGTGTTAAGGTTCAAGATCACCAATCCACGTTCAATTTCGGCGGCATTTGACAACTCCAAAACACAGAAAAACCGTGACTCAGCAACGCAAAAAGAGATTACAAAAAAAATCTGGCAAGAAAACTAAATTTGTCAAACTTGAGAAAACCGTCAGCCCGTTTGAAAATGTTCAAACAGAAACGAACGCAAAAACTAGACCAGAAAAACCAAAACTCCAAAAGGCAATTGGTAACTTGCGAAAAGCCACACTTTTTCTGCCTGCCGTCATTTGGTTTAACTTTAAACCTTGCCAAACGACCGGAGCTGAGCTGGTTCGGTTTAGGCTTCCGTTTCCTACCGGGTTAAGCTAACACGGGGCAGGACCTAAACGGCAAGCAGCGGTCAGCCCTCTCTCTTTTTGTCCGTTGGCGAGAAACCGTCCAGTGAGTCGGGTAGGCGGTCCAGTATTCGGACCGGTCGGAAACCGGCAGCTACGACTGACCGGCTACCTCGAACCGGTCGGCAGAAGTTGGTGGACCGGAAATCCAGCCGGAAGTCCAACAACCGTAACTCCCCAGAACAGGAAGATGAAAGCGTGAAGACAGGCAGTAGCAGACTTGATTCGGAGTCCGAAGCAAGTCAGGTACGACCGAAAATCACGGAGAAGCCTCTAGCGGTGCTGAGCGGCGTGCCGGCGAGACTGTTGAGCTTCAAGAGCCTCGCCGGCACGCCGGACAGGAACGAGTGGCGTACCAGAACCGGAAGAGAAAGGCGGAAGCCGGGGTGGTGGCGGGCAAAAGTGTTAACCCGGAACGGAAACCCAGCCGTCCTGAGCCAATGCTGCCGGGCCGGTAGATGTTCCGTTGCGTCCCTACCAAACACATACGATCATGCTCGTGACCGTTCGGTTTAAGCTTCCGTTTCCTAACGGGTTAAGCTAACACGGGGCAGGACCTAAACGGCAAGCAGCGGTCAGCCCTCTCTCTTTTTGTCCGTTGGCGAGAAACCGTCCAGTGAGTCGGGTAGCCGGTCCAGTATTCGGACCGGTCGGAAACCGGCAGCTACGACTGACCGGCTACCTCGAACCGGTCGGCAGAAGTTGGTGGACCGGAAATCCAAAACTATATCAAGCTGGCCTTTCCGGACCACGGACTCGCGCCCAACACCA